CTGGAACAGGCTGCCCAGAGAGGTTGTGGAGTCTCCTTCTCTGGAGATCTTCCAAACCCGCTTGGACGCAGTCCTGTGCCACGTGCTCTAGGTGTCCCTGTGTATGCAGGGGGGTTGGACTAGATGATCTCTAGAGGTCCCTTCCAACCTTCAGCATTCTGTGATTCTTGCCTATACTGACAAAAGTATAGTGGTACATTATCAGTGATGCTTTCCTTATGTTGTCATTGTGAACAAATAAGTTACAAAGGAGTAGAGTAATTTCACACCTTCCCCAAAAATCAGAAATTCAATAGTGGAATGCCCGAGAATGCTCTAACTGAGTAGTAGAGTTATTGATTGTGTGTGTTTTGCATGCAGAATTGCAATAAAAATCTTACTTGCAGTGCTGGTGTTTCTCTAGTTTGGTGAATAGGAGTGTTTTTTGGCCCTTTTGTCATTTAGGGTTATGAATTGCTTTTCTTTACCATGCAAACCCGTATAAGGATCAAAATAGCTTAATAGTGAAATGATACATATGTAAGAATGCATGCTTGTCCCAGAATAACACTTTTTTTAGTAAAGGAGAATTTGCTTTTATGATTAGGCAGTTCCTTTCTCCTCCTTTCACAATTTAGAAGGAAATTTCCTTTTCATTTTGTTTTTCATGACCTCATCCTTTCGTATGAAATCTGTCTCAATGAAAGGCTTGTTTTCCCCTAGTGGTGTTCTTAACAGAAGACATTCAGAGAGAAATAATTAGAATAATTACACATAGCTTGCAAATTCAAGACCAGCAAGGAAACAAATAGTGTAGAAGAGTTTCCAAGGACTAATCGTTTTCATAGTACAAGCAACCAAACAAAGCCTTATTACTAAATAGGTATTAATAATTATTTTTTTAAAAGCATAGTCTTCAGCTAATTTCATTCTTTGTTTTATAGTGATAGGATGTTATCGGGTGGTCTTGCTATAATCAGTGTAGTAATCTTGATTAATGAATGAATTCCTTGAGAAGTGAAACTTCAATAGAAAGAAATGATGATAATTCTTGCCCTTTATCCTTTTATTATTGGGTGGTATCATCTAAATGTCTCTTCGTGACAAAAACAATTACGATAAGGAACAAATAAAATTAAAGTATGTTTTGCAAATGTTGCATTTGCATATGTAAGGTTTTTCTTATTGGAAAATAGCTTAAGGCCTAGAGGAGCCCAGAGAGTTCTTAAAATGGACTGAAAATATACTTTTTTTTTAATCTCACTGCGCCATAAACGTAGCTGGATTTGCAGTTTGCATATGTAAACCATAGCTGGGGGTGTGTGTGTGTCTGATTCTTCTTAATGAAATTAAGTGTTTGTGGCGTGATAATATGGAAACAGTCTTATTAATTTACATAACTGTCACTGAAAGCTGTTATGTTGAATATTTTCCTATGTAAGCTTCTTGAAAATCAGAAGTGATTTGGAAAAAGAAGACTAAAAACTTTGAGAAGTTCATTGTGTATGCTTTTGAATTTGGGGAAGATGAAGGTGTGTGTGTATATATATATATATATATATTTTTTTTTGGTAAATAAATCTAAAAGATACAAGATCTGTTTCTGAAAAGGATCTCTTGACTGACGTATTTTTTCAAAAGATGAAAAAAGCTATCTTTAAAAAGTATTGGATATGCATTCAAAATATTTTCTTCAAATTACTTTTTTCTGACTGATTCTGTTTGTTCCCAGCAGCTTTATTTATCTAATAAATAATTCTATGATACTGTTTTCATAACTAAAATGTCAACTCCTATCCAGTTTCCCATATATCATGGGTAAAACTATTAATTGATAAGAATGAATCTTAAGTAATACAATTCTTAGTATTAGCCATTCCTTCTGAAGATGGAAGTTCTTCATTTTGATAAAGCAGAGACTTTCGTATATTTCTTTTCATGCAGTTATTCTTTCCTTTAATGCATTTCAGTTCTCTTGCATCAGTGTTTTCTGTTCTTCATTGTATCGGTATTATAAACACGTTGCTCCTGTATCTTCTGTACCTTCTATACCTTCTAGGTTTTCCTCTGCTGAAGAAGCCGCAGCAGCTGTTGAAGCCCTGTGATACTGTAGTATCAGTGATATTGTAGTGTCACATTGGGCTCAGCTTTCCTAAGACACCTGTGCAGTTGAGAAATGAGTCCAAGGAACTTAGGTGTGCAGGATAGTCTTTGGAAGTTGGTGCTTAAATAGGGAAAAGTTACTGAACTAGAGGAAAAAAAAACACAACACCTTTAGGATGTGTTTATCTAAATGGACAGCTGAGCAGCAAGAAAATTTGAACCAAGTGTGTTAGACTACATTGTGTAAGACTATCAAGCTGGTAAGATGAGGTGGTAGCTCTTCCTACACAGCATCTTAGCAGTCTCACTAGATCTAAAATGGTCCAAAGTCATTTACCAGGACTCTTGTTACTTGGTTTTTAACTTTAAGAAAGTCACTTCTATTCGTCAAGCTGTTTATTATATAAATGCAAAGAAATAATTTGCAAGCAAAGCAGAGAATAATCTTGCCACATTGCAGTATGACCAGAGAGGGTTCTGAAAGCTGTGGCAACCCACACAAACAACTGGTTCTGTACTTCATCTTCTGCTACTGTGCAAACTCCCATCTCACTGGAGTTCTTGCTCCCTCAGCTGTCAGGTGAACTGTAACCATGTAACTCTGGCTAAGCCTGTGCTGTGAACAAGTTAAATGCTTATGCTCTAAAGTTGGGGTCATGGGAGCATCTTCAGAAATGTGTAACTGTTTAGCAAAAAGCCTCAAGTTTGGTGTAATAATGCATGCATCTATGTTCAGAGAACTGGGGAATTCCTTTAGCAACAGACAACCTTAACAAAAATGCTTCTGTCAGATTAAGGATTTCTATAGAGGTGATATATGACCACTTTTTTAATGAAGTTTTTTTTTCTGCATTGCATTTTCTTTTTCTGTCACACTAAATTGGCACTTATAAAATTTATTTCAGGTTTTTGATGTTGTATAATAACTTAATTTGTTCTTCTCCTCAGATATTGTAGATGGAAGTGACCTGAAGCAATTTTTTGAGAGTAATTACTCTCAAATTTACTTTATCTTCTATGAAAACTTCGTAACACTGGAAAATAGCTTGAAACAAAAAGGTAGGTTCTAGGTTTTTGCTAGAGATCTTGTTGAATTGATTTTCATAACTGCTCTCAAAAGCATTCTGTTATCTAATGAGTATATATCTGCAGTTATGTATATTTAGTTTCACACAGTCTGGCATTAGTAAACAATTTTGTGGTAATACAAGTACGGAAAATTATGGGCTGAACTGTCATAGATAACTAAAGGGTTTTAAATGTTAGATGTTTACAGCCTTAAGTGTCACTTCAGCACAAAATTCACATCCTGTGCGTTTATACTCACCACCTTTGAAGATGACACGATGATACTTTGCAGTTTTGGGACTCAGGATGTCCCCATGTAATTGAAGGAGGTGCTGGAAATAGAGCATCTTATTCCACTCGACATGAGAGAAAGTTGAAGAATAATGAACTAAGTACAACATCCATGACATTAGTAGAATAAGGAAAGTGCAACTTTTCTGTCTTATCAAATCATTTGTTTATGGCAGCCTGTTTTGTCTTGCAGGGAATAAATCCCAGAGGGAGGAGCTGGACTCCATTCTCTTTCTTTTTGAAGTAAGTTGCCCATACCATAGAACCTAGAATTGTTTTAAATCTGTCGTTATGTGCTTGCTTATACCTTTACAATGAGAGGGGAAAAGATTCATCTATCAAGTCACAGTAGGTGTGCATGACTATGGAAGTGGAAGGCAGTCAAGAACTATGGTCTGTATTAAGTTTTCAGATGCATAAAACAATAGAATTTTCAAAATGTCTTGGGAATGCCTGGCTTAAGTGAATATCCAGAGTTAAAAGATTTCTGTCAAAGACCAACTAATCTAGCTTGCAGTAATGTTTGAAATCTGTCTTGGAAT